TGCTCATATAATTAGCATTATCTTATTTCTAACTTCAGGAAAAGGTGAAAAAATATTGACATTTCTATAAATAATTAGCATATACATTATTCATTTTCAGTATCATATAAAAACAACAATGAAAGGGTGTTGGCTATGTATGCCTTTCAATCTACATAGAAAAAAACGTGTTACTCATTTCCTCAAAAGTTATACAGAGATATGGAAAAAATGTTTGGGAACTTTAATCTACAACAGGGTGATTACAATTAATAATACTGTGTTATATACCTGCAATTTGCTAAGACAGCAGATCTCAAATGTTCTCAACACACATCAACAAAAAGATAGATATGTGAGGCAATGAACACAGGTTAATTAGCTTAACTGTGGGAATCATTTCACAATGTGTGTGTGTTTCTGTGCACGTATAAAATCAAAACATCACATAGTACATCATAAATATATGCCCTTTTTGTTATTTATACCTCAATAAAGCTGTGGTTAAAAAAATATGAGGTTGAAAGGTAATCTAATTTGATATTGTTCTGAAAGGCTACTGTCTGATCAGTGAACTGATTAATATATGACCAACCTTTTTTTGATCTAGGCACTGTGGAGTTTTATTTTATTTTGTTATGTGGTTGTAACATTTACTCAATACAATGGCTACCCTAAAACAATCTATACATTGGATTCTTGATATATTATTATTCAGGCTGTGCTTCAACATGCTAATTTAGAACAAAGGAAACACAGTCCTTCTTTAGGCTTATAAGTACTATTTGCAAATGGCTTATAGCAAAATGATTTTATAAAATCTAAAAATTTGTTTTTTGTCCTGAGATGTGATAATTCTCAGTGGTGGCCTTTTAATGAAAGCATCCATATCGAAAACATGTAACTATTATATCTGAGGTTTCCTTTCTGCAAACTGAATTCAAAACAGTCATATGTGATAAAGTGAGAGAAACATTAAATAGGTGAGGTAAGGGAAGTGGCATGAGCAGAACTGCTTAGAAGGGAGAAAAATTAAAATATATAATATATAATAAAATATAATATATATTATTATAATTATTATTTAAGGTATTGCATTTTGTCATCTCATATCAGCCTCACTAGTTTTTAAAATTGGGGGACAACTGGGCAAAAGAAATGGTTATAGTACTTCTTAGAAGCAAGAAAAATGGGCACAGAACTTCTTATCACCTTGAGATAAGCTTAACAAAATAGATATACACACATATTTGGAAGCTATGACATACTGTACATTGAATTAAATAACTTGCTTTCCGCAGGTTTTCTCATAGAAAGACTGATTTTAATTCTACTAATCTCTCACTTTGTTATCAGATTTTTTTGTTCCTGATTTGTAATTTAATTATCTAATAGTCCATCATTATTCATATATTATATGAATATCAGCTTTTATTCTTATGTCTCCTGAATTTTTTTTCTCAGATTTCCATTTGTAGAAAGAAGGCAATGATATTTGCTACCCTTCTAATAAGTTGAGAGTATTAACACAATAAAGCATTTTTGGTTAACTAAATCTCACAACATTCTTAATGCTAGTATGATAACATTATATGTCACATAAACTTACAGTGCACTAAAACACTTATTTCTCTTTTACACTCTATTGGGGAGCTAAGTATGAACACCATTATTTAGCTGCATAATTCAGTAATAAAAGAAATATTGATATTAGAAGTTTTAATTTATGGTGTCTTTCTTTAAATATATCAGTAGATATTCTTTATTTAAATAGTTAACATTTCTATCTTGTGTAAAACAGAGGATATGTGATTTATTACTTCTCTTTTTATAAGTGAAGAAATAGAAGAACCAATAAATTCTTTACTAATCCAGAGCCACAGTGTAAATCAACAGAAAATTCCAGAAGGAAATTCAGACCTGTAGACACCAATTCTGACCTTAATCTGTTAATCTAATATTTTATATTTTAAGTTTGTAAAGCACCCTATTCAGACATAGGAAGGATATTTGTACTTGGCTTAAATGTGTTAGAACACATAGGACCTTAGAATCACTCTTAATACATAGCTCAACAAATACTGCGTACTACTACCTATACCGACACACATATCTAAAGTCACCTCTGTTGTGAACTGGAGTCAAACTAATTATAAAAACTGATTAGTTCTATTATAAGCACCATAGAATTGAAGCTATATGGTTTCTGAGTGTATGTAGTTAATTTGAAGATACCTGAAGAATGCATCATGTCAGCAACAACCTTAAAAATTTAAGAGATTTATGAAGCAGTAGCAATTTTGGAGACAACAATTGCCAAGAACAAAGCCTTGGGCATTACTACATAACCTCTCAATAGGTAGACTGGGAAAAGAATGTGAGAAGCTTAAAAATATCTTGTGAAGAATAAAAGTAGCTTTTACTTTAAGTCCAATGGAAAATAGCAATGTAATTATGTACTTGAGTAAAGATGAAAATATACAAACAAGTGTCCATAAGTACTTGTGGTAAGGAGTTCAAATCAGTAAGTCAAATAAGTTTATATTGTTTATTTTTTTCAGGGCAAGCACCAAACTCCAGGCCTTGCATGTATTTGGCAAGCACTTTGCTGCTAAGTTAAATCCCCAAACCCAACTATATCAATTTTTAAATTCCTATAACAACCATGCACTAAAAATATAGCAGTGAAAAAAGTAGCAGCCTATTTTTTTTTTCCTTGTTAGGATGGAAATAAGACAAGACACGTTGAAATAGGGAAACTCAAAGATGCAATGTCCCAGTCAACTTGTCAGTGTTCTGCTATACACTTTGTTATCAGATTTTTTATTAACTAAACTTGACCTGTTAGGTGAAAAACACTTTTGGTTTATTTCGAACAGAAATAACAGAGGACTTAAAAATAATTAGAAGCCTAATTTTTAAAAACTTCAAAAAAGAAGTACATTTAAACTTTGCCATTAAAAGAAGGCAAAACTCCAGAAATGCAAAGAACCTAAAAAAAAACCAAAACACTTCTTTAAAAATATAAGCTTTTAATATATACACTAAGCTGAAACATTTTATTCTATATTGAGTTTTTTTTTTTTTTTTTAAAACCATAATTTTAAGTGTGTGTGTGTGTGTGTTTTATACTACTGATCTGAAACCTCAGAGCCAGGAATTTAATCTCTATTTCAGAACATCCAGACTATGATGCTTAAGAATAAAAATAAGGCAGTTCACTATTCAAAGAAGGCCTATCTAGTCTACTACATTTGACACTGAGAAATGAAAACAGAGTCCATTTCTTGAACAGAACAAATTATACCTCAAAAATGGAGCATAAAGGTATGGATTGGGTTCTTTAGATGAGGACTATATGCAACTGAAAAGTGACTTTATTAGGGCAGAAGACAGGATGCGAGTAAAAAGGAAGAAATTGGTTGCCCCTATTGGCATTAAAAATTCTGTTTTCTTGTCAGAACGGATAGAAATGACTATTTCTATTGATTCATACACACACACACACACACACACACACACACACACTTACACATATATGTTCACTGCTGAGGCTGTTTATTTATAACTTTTTTCCTTCTATATGCTTAGACTCATAATTTTTAATATTTAAATATTTAATCCACCTATAGCTTAATTTTTTGTTATATAATCAACCATTTCCACCAAAATGGATAGTCACTTTTTAAAATACCTTTTATTAAATGATCCTCCTTTCTCCCAGTGATTTTTGAAAATCAGATTTACAAATGTTAAGTTCTAATATAACACATAGGCATGTTAATGAAATACCATTTGGTTGTATTTATGTACTAATTCATTTTCTTGTAATGTATGAAATATTTTAATCACTGTGCCTGTTCCATTTTCACATCTAATAGAATGAAGCCCTCTCATTGTTTCACTATAAACCAACTCTCCCATAGTCCACTAGCTATTTTTATAAATTTGCTCTTATTAAAGGACATTTAGAATTGCCTTTGTATATTCCTCTCCTCCAAAAATTGTGGATTATATTAAATTAATCAATAATTTAAGGCATATAATTTCAAATGAACAATTGTGTCTAAGAACATGTTATGTTGTCCTAATCATTCAAGTTATATTTTGTGTTCACCTAGAATATTTATTTATTTCTGGTAAATTTCTTAAGGTTAGTTTTAGGTATTGTGAAGTTTCCTTTTTTTTTTTTTCTTGCTATTGTAAATGAATTCTTTATTGTATTTTCTATTGGCCTGCTACTAATTTAGGTAATATCAGTATGTGAATTGCCATAAAATAAAATATAGCCACCAAATCATTCAAATCCTTTTTCAATTGATTCTTTTGGGTTTTATCACAGGAAATCTTACGTTTAAATGCAGTCTGGTTTCTTCTTTATAATATTCAGATGTCTTCTCTTGTATTGATATATTGAGATGGACAAACTTTTAATGGTGACAGTAACTATCTGTTATTTCTAACTTCAATAAGAATTCATCTCCTCTATTGCTTCAGACTTTTTATATTTGTTGTTTTTTTAAATGAAGTTGAATATTTTATTTCTTATTTTGTTGCATGCTGCTGTTTCAGTGTATAAAAATCACACCAGTAAATGCAGTACATTATAAAACTAAGACAGTACTGTTCTTCTGACACTGTACAACACTCACTTTTCTCCATGCCCAGTTTTTTCCAATGGAAGATCATTAAGTATATTGACCCAGATCCAGGGATGGATGTAAGCAAGTTACAATATTATATTAGGCTTATAGTAAGACTATCCTTGAATTACATACTTTTTATAAGTAGTTTTTACCACAGATAATTTCATAAATTCTGATATCAGCCTAGTACCTACTCTAAAAATCATAAGGAATTGTAAAAAAGATGCATATTGTTTTTATCTGCAGTCATTGGGAAGTTAAGGGGTATCTTCTTCAAGTAGCAGTGTTGAGAGTAGGTTTTTAAATCTTATATCCACCACTAATTTAAGACAACTCCTGCAGTTATTCCACACTAGTTTATTTAGGATGCCATTTTTACTCCTCAATAGATTTTACATATTTCTCATATGCTTCTTCGCTCATTAGGTCATCTAGTTCTGAAGAGTCACTCAGTGTCATCTTTATCAGCCAATCATCTTTATAACAAGATTTGTTCACAAGCCTTGGGTTTTTTGCAAGTGCCTCATTAATTTCAGTTACTTCTCCTGATAGAGGAGAATAGAGTTCACTGGCAGCTTTCACATTTTCCAAAGCACCAAACTCATCTTGTTTTTTCAATTTTGTCCCAACTTCAGGCAGACTACAATAAACAACATCTCCCAGAGCTTCCTGTGCAAAATTGCTGATTCCCACTGTTCCAATACCATTTTCTATAGTTATCCATTCCTGTTTCTCTGTGAATTTAGGGAAGGAGAGCAGAGCAGGTCCCATGCACAGCTTCAGAACAGCGCCCATCCTCACCCTCCAGGGCCTAGGCAGGCAGAGCACAGAGGGCGCAGGAGTTGCATGCAGGCTGCAGGCCACAGTTAGCAAGCTCTGCATGCTCGCAGCACCATATTGGCAAGGGTACAGAGGGTTGCTAACGGCGCCTCTGCCCTATTTGTTGGTTTTTGTGATTAAAAATTTTTATCATGTTTACAATTTTAAAAAATTCTAATTCACTATGTGTTTTTCCAGAAAAATTATACTGAATTTTATACTTTTTTGGCTTACACGCAGATGATTGTATTATTTTTGTGATTTACCTAATAATAATACAAATGGAATTAGAGGGTGTCTAAAATTACTGTCCTTGAATTCTTAAAATAAATCTTACTTGGTGAATGATGTGTATTAAATAAAAACTTGTTGCTGTTTCATGTTTTTGTATATTATTTTACTATTTCTACATATAATCTTCATATGTTATTAGGCCTATAGTCTCCTTGTTATCTTTATTTCATTTTGGAATTAAGGGTTTGTTACCTTTATAGAAGGAATTGGGATTTTATTTTTAATCCTGTGTCATGATATAGCTTAAATAACAGAGGAGTAAGACAGGAATTACCTGTTCATTAAAGTTTTGATTGAACTTACTCATGACACCCCCACACTTCCTTCTTTCAACTCTCCAACTCTTTCTCCTTTCATTTCCTAATACATTGCAATAGCTACTTTATTAATTGACAGATGCTGGAAATCAAGGTACTACTGAAATTTATTTTTACTTTAATTTGAATAAAAGTAAGTTAAATACATAATTATAGGATGTAACACTGACATGTGCATCTCCTCTTCCTAACCATCTAAAGTGTATTTTGATGTAGAACCATTGTTTGAGTTTGTATAGAGCAGAGGTGAGGCCAATTGTATATGCATAGCACAAAATCAAAACAATGTTTCCATTGCTCTTTTTAAACCAAAGATACCTCTCAGTAAAGAAGTGTCAGTTGCCTTATCACTTACAATGATTTCCATATTATATTGCAGTCTTTTTATTTTATTTTTATCTAATGACATTATTTGATGAAGTCTCATTAGCTTAAAAAATGTTTCCATTAGTGTTGTTTGGCTGTAGTGAATGCCTGTCAGAATGATTAATAGAAAGCAGTATGACATGTGATTACATTGTGAATATTAGGATATAATTGTAGGATGAAAGAAAATAACAAGTTTTCGAATGTCAGGAAAATGGGTACTTGAGGTTTACAATAACATTTTTAGTAACACTTTCAAAGTAAAAAATTTTAAATGCTGTGTCTTCATAACTAAATAATAATATGAACCCCTAGCTCACACCATCTACAGAAATTAACTCAATATGGATCGAGGACTTAAATATAAGAGCTAAAACTATACAATGCTTAAACAGTTTGATTCCTTAAAATACAAAACATAGAATTACTGTATTATCCAGCACTTCCAGATATATAATTGAAGGAACTAA